GCTCCCTGGCTGACAGGGGAGGGCTCGGGCTGCCTGCTCAAACTGCCCGGCCCCGCTCTCCCTGGGGCTCGGGCTGTCTGCCCTGCAACTGGGTCCCAGCAGAGTCCTCTGGCCGCCATTAATGAAATTTTTCTTGCGAACCCCCTGAAATGTCCTGCGAACCCCCAGGGGTTTGCGAACCCCACTTTGGGAACCACTGCCATAGTTTAAGCCCCGTGAGCCAGCAGAGGCCAGCCACAGGTGTTTTATTGCAGTATAGCTATACCCTTAGAGTCTAATGCACAGGTTGTGTTGTGGGCGTGAGTGTTGTTGAATACAGTAACTCCTCATTTAACGTTGTAGTTATGTTCCTGAAAAATGCAACTTTAAGTGAAACGATGTTAAGCAAATCCAATTTCCCCATAAGAATGAATGTAAATGGGGGGGGTTAGATTCCAGGGACATTTTTTTTTTTTTTTGGCCAGACAGTACAGTACTAAAGTTGGAAGGTGCCCCTGCCTTACCCCACACAGGCACACCCCACTGGCACTGGAGACAATGAGGCAGGCAGGAGGCTGAAGGTGCCGTAGGCTAGGAGAAGCATATTGCGCAGCAGCAGCGGCAGCTTCCCCTCCTCTGCAAGCACCAGGGGGAGGGGGCTCAACCCTCAGCCCGCCCACTCCACCGCTTCCCCCAAACCCCCACCTTTAACCCGCCTCTTCTCCCCCCACCTCCTCCCCCTTTACTCCGCACACCGCATCCTCGCTCCTCCCCCTCCCTCCCCTGCCTCCTGCCCGCGGCAATCAGCTGGCTTGCAGCATTCAGGAGGGAGGAGCGAGGACACGGCGCGCAGGCTCCCCCCTCCCTCCTGAATGCTGCAAGCCAGCTGATTGCCGGGGGGAGGAGGGTGAAGGCGCTGATCCGCGGGGTCTGCCTCCAGGCGGGAGGCACTGGGGGTGGGGGAAGCCTGATAGCGGGGCTGCCAGCTGTGGACAAAGCAGGCAGCCAAACAACATTATAGCAAAGCATTGCACAACTTTAAATGGAGCATGTTCTGTAATTGAGCAGGGACGTAAGATTGAAACAACATTAATAGAAAGGACGTTAAGTGGGGAGTTACTGTAGTTAAGATGAAGGGGACAGCTAACCAATACTATTGTTTGTTGGTTCCCACATAGGTAATCCATATTATCTCTGTTTGTTATACTCTTCTGTCCTAAGACTCTCACCAGTTCAAATATTTAGGGAAAATGAAATCTGTTGTTAGCTAACTTCCATTAATTAAGGAACATCTGTATGAAAGCAGAAAGCTATAGGTATTCAGATCGGTTGTCTTGACAAGATGCATGGTTTCCAAAAGTGGTGAAACTTGTTACTGACCTATGCTTAGGGTAGTGGGGAAGAGGGAATGTGCTTTTCATGAGAAAAAGTTTGGAGCCTTGCATTTGACACCTTATGAAGTCAGACTCTGTGGACTTTTTCTCAGACCCCTTCAGGCATACACATGTTTTCAATTGTTTCAGACTTGGTTTGAAGAGGGCTATAACATAAATCAGTGCCAGAAACCAAGGGAAGGCTCTTGACTTTTTCCCCTTTGGCATGACTTTAGGTGGACTAAAAGCTAATATAATGCAAAGGAAGAGGGGGAAGGGTAGCAAGATATTTTTAATGAGTGAGAAGGTAGCATGTTTTGAAGCTGTGCACCTCATAACTTGAGAGCTGGGACTGTCTTGAAAGATGAAGTAGAAGCTGTGTGATTAATTTCTAGCCAAAACCCGGGGGGATGGGGGAGGGGTTGCAGGCTGCTGTACTTTCCTTAATTATGAGAAACATAAGGTTTTTCTTTCCCTCCCAAGAAAAATCACTCCACGCGCACATGCAACCAGGATTAGTTAACAAGATTGGCAGGCAGTGGTCATGGGAAAGCTCTGCAGTTCAGCAGGCTGTCTGTCAGGAGGTATGTCCTGTGGATGTGGCAGAGATTGGGAAGGAAGAATGGAATTAGTCTGTCTGTGGTGTCATGAGTTGCTTGGCAAAGACTTTTCAAATTCTTACTTGGTGACAGAGCATTATCCTGGAGAAGAAAATTTCTATCTTGCCTTTCAGCCCAAGAAATTTGATTAAAACTCATTTATAAGTAATAATCCAGATATGTATTTAGGCCTGTGTCTAAAGTACACAGGACTTACTGGTATCAGGATAAAAAGGAAATTTTAGTTGTAGCAAAATTAGGTAAGCGAGGTTAAAGATTATAAAATGTTTGTGTAATAACCTCTGCAGTTACATTTTCTAGGATAAGACCTATAAGGGAATAGCTGTCTTTATTAATCTGAGTATAAACTGGAAGAAACATTCCCCCATGGTATTGCACAATTAGCCCCATGAAATATGGGGATTTTGTGTCTAAAATGTTTGATGTTTTCTACTATTGGAAGTTGCATACCAGATCAGATGAAACATTAATCTGTTCTGTTCTAGTAGATTGTGTTGTAACAATAGTACTCATACACCAGAAGAAAAAATAGCCCAACTAGAACACTGCTGCTGTAATATTACTATTAGAAATTAAAATCAAGTTAAAGGTACTTAAGGAAGCTGTGGTGCAACTAGGGAACTTCAGTATGTTTATCCACATGCTTTAAGTTAATCTCAAACAAGGTGAACCAGTAGAGCATAGTTAATCTGGATCAAAATAATTGTAATTAAGTGCTTAGAAAAAAACTAGTGAGGCATGCTGGCTTTTGCCAGCAACAGTTCACATGCATATCTGTACGAGTCTGAAGTTGGGTAGGGTTAGAAAGGAGAGAGTTAAAAATCTTGAAATACAGCTATTTTTGGGTCTGTATCACAAAGGATCCTAAAATAGTTGGTTATCTCAAGAATTGGTGTGCAAGGATCCCTATGCTTAAGATATGTGAAAAGTCCATGGTAAAATTTTGACCCACCTATTCAGAGACTGGATTTGAGGTGTTTGGTGACTGGAGAACCTGGAGGGAGGTGGTGAGCAGTTGCAGAAAAGTGTTGAACTTCCTTTTCTCAGCCAGTTTGTCTTCCTCCCGCTCCCAGTTGCAATTCCTCTTCACTTCCACCGAGTCACAGGGCCTCATATTTAATAGTGGTGTCTTTGGCTTCCTGCCACCCCCAACCACCACACACCTGTACACTGTGTCCTGGGTAGCTGCTACCTCGGACCCCTGGGGTGAGGAGGAGGGCGATGAGAGGGCTGGCTGATGAACACATACACACACCCCATCACCACCACTACCACCACCACCATCTCCTGCTTTCGCAGAGGTTACCGATTAGAAGGGTTGTCTAAGGTGAGCCAAGAAAGGTCTTCACTTTTCTAAAACACTCCACATTGCAGTGGGAAGGTAAAATCCCTTCCTCTCTTGCTTTAGCTGTCTCTGCACTAAGCCCAGGATCAAATAATGCACAAAAGACCTACTGTGATGGCTAACATACCTTTATGGGCTTTAGTTGTGTGTCTAGTTACTGTACTAAGACTTGCAGGGCTCCACCTGATCCTGGTTTCAGTGGGAGAAAATAGTAGGTTTCCCTTGCTGTCTTGTGTGGAGTGGTGAGTCTGCTTTTTGTCTTTAGTTTTCTCAAGATACCCTTGGGAGAAAGCTACATCCAAATGCAAGCTATCATTCACAGCTCTTGGAATCATTCCGCATAGTGAATCTGAAGTGAAGGAGAGATGGGGGTTTGCAGTAAATCTTCAAAACTGACAAAGTTTCTTTAAAGCTAATACATTTTAATATGGTGCCATTAAAAAAAACCAACCAGAAAACATAGCCATATTGTAAATTTCAAAGACAAAAATATATCTTGTCAGAAATCCTAAATAAGCAGTGGTGTGTGTTTAAAAAACTGCAGTGCAGCACCCATCCATCCCTTGTTTTCTCTCTTTCCACAGTTGTCAGGTGGCTGCGAGTTGACTGTGGTCATCCATGACTTCACAGCATGCAACAGCAATGAGCTAACAATCCGCCGTGGTCAGACAGTGGAGGTTCTAGAGAGGCCACATGACAAGCCCGACTGGTGTCTGGTACGAACCACAGATCGATCCCCTGCTGCAGAAGGGCTAGTTCCTTGTGGGTCGCTCTGCATTGCCCACTCTAGAAGCAGCATGGAGATGGAGGGTATCTTTAATCACAAAGGTAAGTGAGAATGCGTTTTACGTTCCAGTTGTTGGCCTCATTGCAGCACTTCATATTTTTTTAGTAAAAAATGCTGTGTAAGATAAGATTTTTTTTTTTAACGGTTTCATTCAGTGCCTTCGAATTTTTATCTATTCTTGGATAAGACTTATTGGATGTAGAAGTCTATGGGTAAAACTTGTATTCCAAGACTTCTGAGGACCCAGAGTGAAGCTGCTCAGCATCTTGCATGTGAAGTGGAGAAGCAATGGGATATTTGGAAGCCATTAAGACAAGTTATGTCCTATTAAAATAAACCGAGTTAGATGTTGTGCTGGAGCAAGCCTTGACACTGTGCTAAACTGTGCCTCAGAAATTTAGAAGAAAAAAATTTAAAAGGAGAACAGGGTCTTGCTCTGCATGGAGAGAAAATTTAAGTTCAGCTGCTTAACTATGGTGACAATTTTTGCCACTCACAATACCAGTTAGCTATGTAGAATGCTAAGTTTTTCTTTCTCAGCGTTTTAAAAATTGTACTATGAGACTTGGGAGATTAGGCTTATTTCTTTGTCTAGTTGTTCAGCTTTATAAGTAGCCTGTAAGGAGCCTAATCATTAGACTTCAGCCGCAACTATTTTGGGTCCTGTTTAAATTTTTTTCTGCATAGTTGTTTGAAAAAACCTTTATATGTAAGGGCAGGATCTGGTTTTCCAAATGAATGATACCCTTTTTAGGAAATCCAGGGCAGTATGGGAGGCTGCCTGTAACTTTTTATTAATTTTATTGGGGCTTAGGAAAAGCAAGTTTTTTCAATGTGAATGAGATATTTCACCCTCTAGAAAAGAGAGGGATTATCTTTATTTGGTGTATTCCTGGATAAGTGGGTGTGGTGTTTAATGTTCCAATCCCCACAGGATTCTATTATATGTAATATCAGTCTAGGAATGAATAGCTGTGTCTCTTGACTTCTTGATTGGGGGCAATTGATTTCATTCCCAAATTAGGCTGATACATAAAGTCTGTGCTCAGAAGCAAATAGATTTATTGGAAAAGGTGGTTTGTCCTTTAAAAGAGGCCTTTTGAACCTCTTCATTTAGAATAGAGAATTAAATGTAAGTTATGAGTCAAAGTGCCTCATCACAGATGCAGTAAATAGCTAGGTAACGTCTACATTGATCAGAATGTATTATAAGCAGTAGAACTGTTGAGAAATCAATTGGTGGGGAAAAAATTCTCTGTAATGGTATACTATGCTGTTGGAAAGCACTTTATTTTTCCCACTTCATTGATTTTCCATCCAGCTCCTTGTTCTTCTCTTCTCTTTTCTTTTCTCTTCCTGGGTTGTTCAGCTTGTGCAACAATATGGTTGGCTATAACAGGAAAGCCTTATGTGTTACTTGGGTGTGCAGCATGCCCAGCAGGAATTGTGTGTATGCAGGGTGATGTAGCAGAGAAAGCTGAAGATTTTGTTTCTAGGTTGATACTTCAACTTTTTTGTCCTGTGGTACTCTGGGTAAGGAAGCCTAGCAGCCATTTGGATGATTAATTGAAAAATATTTGTTAGTCTCTAAGGTGCCACAAGTACTCCTGTTCTTTTTGCAAATATTTTTTGGTTTCACCAAGGTGTTTCTTCCTTTGACTGGGAGTGTGAAATCATAATAACATTGTGACACTGTTCGCAAAGGGAGCCTTTGAAGCAAGAGAATTCTTATTAGAAAGGGCAAGCTGGATTGGACAAAAGGAAAATTACAGCATGTGTTATGAGGAATATTGGACCAGTTATAACCAGACTCATGTGGGATTCTGTGTGAGAAAGACAAAACTACATTTGTGTTTAATACGTTTTGCATTTGATTTTTCCTTCATAAGTGTAGTACTTTGAATGTGTCTTGATTGAATTTATCCCCTCCCCAATCTGTGATGCCAGTTAACTAATACTTAAGCTTGTATACAACTTCTAGTTCTTCCTGTTTATACTCCATACTCCCTGCATTTATAGACATTTATGATGTTGAGCAGATTATTTCTCTCTCTCTCTCACACACACACCCACACTCTTGTTGCTCCTGTGTGACCCTGTTGTAATTTTTAATTTCTCCACAACTTCCAGCCATTTGTCAAGGTCACCGTTTTTATGTTTACCAGAGCGATTTTGTGACCTGCCCCCTTTGAAGCTAGTTTAACATCCTCCCCACAAGTTTGGTGAGGCTGTCATGGAGAATTGGATTCTATCCCTGGCCTTTGCCACAGAGTTCCCATGTGATGCTGGGCAACTCACTTAAACCAAACTTTTCACAGGTGGTCAGCTGCTCACTAATTCTGTGTTCCTAACTTTCTGGATGCCTGATGTGAGAGCCTGGACTCTGATTTGCAGAAGTGTTGACAAGTCACAGCTGCAACTGAAGTCAATGGGGTCTGTGATTTGAACATATGAAGTGCTTTAAAGTGATGAATACTCTGAAAAATCAGGTCCTAGGTATTTCAAATTGGGCACCCAAAATTAGGGGATACTTCAGCCTTATTGTCTCTGTGCCTCAGTTCCCCATCTGAAAAATGAGCATAATACCAGCCCCGATCCTCACAGGAGTATTGTGAAGCACACAGATTCTATAGTAATGAGCAGCATAGAAAAGCCCTTGATAATATTTTTTTCTTCAGAGAAAGGTTTAAATAGTTGGCAGTGAATAAGTTATCAGGCCACACACCGAACAAGGATAGAACAAGATATTGAATAGTTGCTCATTCTGTGATCATCATCCATCCTCTGCACTGAATGAGGCAGGAGTCATGTGGGGGAAAAGAATAGTGTGGATCATAGATCATATCATAATGCATATGCACAAGGGGGCTGACTTTAATTCTGGTATTTCCTGACACATTAATGCTCCACTTTGAATCCATACTATTCTTTTAATGTAGTTTTTCCCCCCGTGTCATATAATAAAGCCTTTGTGTTATTTGAGTGAATCAACAGATGTTTATGGTATTAGATTTCATATTTTTATTTACTTCAGTAGCCAGCATACCTGGGTTGAGATTTTTTTCAAATGAATCAGCTTCATTTTCTTTTTTCCCCCAGTTGGATCTTTGTAGATACAGGTGGTAATCCTCCTCAGTTCCACAGTAACTTTCTTCCTCTTCAAAACCACGACGCAGACTGAAGTATGAAACAACTTCATTTTGAATATTTTTCTGAAATCCATGAAGAGAGATTGTTAAAGCTCTTTGATTCCTGCAGTCAGGAAGCACTGAAAAACCGTCTCAACAGTTTCCTACTTTACGTAATAGTTGGAAAATTATAGGATGTCCAAAAGCTAAAATGTGCTTCAGAGGTTTGACGTAGCAAGCCTCTTCTCTTCTAATATAAGTAGCTAATTCCTGTGTTGCATTTATTTAATATATATATATTCTCAAGGGGCTTTCACCACCATCAAATGTAAAAAAATCATGTTAGTTGTGGTTTAATTCTCAATTAACTATCTAAAATCTGGGATTTCTGTGGTAACTAGAGAGCTAAAAGGGTTTCATTTCAGGAAAGCCTAGTGCTTGCAGCCAATCTAAACACCCGTGGTGGTCAGTCTACATTAAATAAAACACAACACAGTGTCAAATTTTATTCTGGCTATATTAGAAAATGCTAGATGACCAAAACATTGGTTTGGGAGTATTCTGCACTGAGGCACAGCTGTTGCCTTTATTTATTTTTTTATAAATAAAGCATATTCATAGTTTATAATATTAAAATGTCTGTAATGCTGGGTAGGAAATGGAACTTACAAGAAAACTCTTGTTTTTAGATAACATTTTTATTAAATGTGAAAACAGGGAACACATTGCAAGTAAAGGAGATTTAATTCATATAGTGGATGTTCATTCAAATGTTCTCTATCAGAGATACCCAAAACATAGCATGATGCCCAATCTTTGCATAGTAAAGCTGTTTTTATAAGTTATTTATGCATTTCTATCTGTTTGACATGTTATTTACAAGTAACACAAACATGCAAAAAACAATACTCAAATCCCTTCTGATGTATATCAATCTATTAGACAGGAAAAAAAGACAAGAAATAAATGGACAAGATTGGAAAAGAGGTAGTGGAATGATTGAATAATAGTCAGCTCACAATTATAAAGGGAAAACTGCCAGTTTAAAAATCACATTACTCTCTGAAAGGGGTTAACATTTAAGAAACAGGTAAGATTATGACAAAAAACAATGATTAGAGGGTAAAAATTCTCCCTCTTACATTGCTTTGTGCATTTGACAGCACTTTTCCCCCATTCTGTTTCACTTTCCCTTTGTCTAGGCAATTTCCTGTGTATGTGTGTACCTTTCACACAACAAATATGATTGCTTTTAATAGCAAAATGTAATTATAAACACACCAACATTTAACTGATTAGATTGCAAGTTGACAGTCCATTTAACCTCGATAAGATAAGTGTGATGATGAATTTGTGTTTTGTTGACTCAAGGCTGGATTGCCACATAATTCCTGAGGCTAATAGGAAAAGCTGTGCAGTTTCTGCAACTTGTTCACAGTGGAAAAGCAGATGACATATCACACTGGTCTGTGCTCATGCCTCAATAGGTCCTCATTCAGTGTAAGGCTGTTGTCCTTATAAGAGCCTGTGGTGGGGCGGCTGCCCCACCCCCTGAGAAAAAGGGCTGGAACAGCCCAGAGAGGCTGCGCAAGCCAGCATCCAATCAGCAAAGGCCTGTGGAGAGCCAATCAGGGCCGGGCTGGGCCCTATATAAAAGCTGCCTAGCAAGGGAGAAGGCAGTCACTCCCTGACTAGCAAGGGAGGAGGACTGGCTCCTGCGGTAAGGAGGTAGCACCTTGGACAGAGCAGTGCTGGCCGGGCTCGGGGGAGCAGAGGAGAGCTCCGGCCCAGTTGCCTGCCAGGCTGCAACCCCTGCTACAAAGGGTCGAGAAGGTGCACGGGGCCAAAGGGAAGTTAGGCGAACAAGAGGGGAGTGAAGGAGGGCAGAGAGAGGCTGCCGCTAGAGGGTCCCT